ATCCTGCAGTGAAAACTCAGTTATGCAGCTCCACACACCTACTAACACACAAAAACAAAACTTCTGAAGTAAAAGAAAAGCATTTTTACAAAGACTGCACAGAGATGTGAACAGCAATGCTACCTAGGCAGCTGAGTTACTACACAATCCACAACACAGAAATGGTTTAGACTGAGTTTAAGACTATTGAGGTAATAGTAGCTCCATATAACTATTTGGGATGGCAAAAAGAGGGAAAGGATCACAACTTGTGATTGTCTAAGTTACCCCCCACTGCTAAGTAAAAATAAGGGTTTTGTTCAAAGATGTGATTGGCTGTAACATCCATTCATTGTGCCCAGAAAACAAAATGACATCCCATTTAGGTCTGTTCAGACTTGCATAACTTTTTCTGTGGGATCAGAGGCTTTGCCTCTGGTGGAGAAGGTGGAATAAGAGAATTCTAACAGCAAGCACACAATTGCGTTTCACATTTGCTGTTCTTCCATACTCAGACTGATTTATTCTTGAGCAACTGTATGATATCGCAGCTTTAAGTCACTGTGAAATCAAAGGACAGATGCAGATTATGAGTTGCAATTGAACACGTGTCTGAAGATTTACATTTGTCATAGACTTACTAATAAAATCCTCACTCATTAACAAAATTGAATATAACCTAGCTTGATTTACTAAGCAGCAAACTGAAAATTTACATGAACGAAATACTAAATAAACTACAGGAGTTAATGTGGAGTTACCCAAAATAAGTCTCGAAAAATATGTCCCAGTTTGGAGCAAACAAAAACCACATTCATCCAAAAATCAGGTCTATGCTTGCCACTACAGACTAACTCAATTACATCATCTAAATAAGAAGCACTTGGGTAAGTCTCATCTGGAGGTAGTTTAAACTCTTCAGTATAAACCATTTGATCCAAGTCCCTCCTGCTAACCAATATCAAGTACATACAGTCCCTCCCAAACATACATGCCTCGACCTCCAACCCCACTCCACACTCAGGATCATCTGCCACATGACACAGATTGCCCAGTCATTTCACTGCAAACATGTATGCAAAATACTCCGTCCCAGCATGGACCTTGTTATCTGCAGAGTGCTGAATATGAACCTAGAGATGTTTCAGCATCAAGTTAATGATGAGCTTCACAACTGTCAGCTCTCTCTTGATTAGATCACAGCACCTTCTGTGAGAAGGTATTCATGTCACTTACCACAAATCCAGTCAGCCAATCTGGAAAACATAAATGCCTTTCTTTCCTCTCACTCAGAACTGTAAGGATCCCCTCAAGCTATCCTAATTGAAACCAGTACCTTTAGGGCCTGCCACTTCTGCCACTGTGAGCCTAGTAGTCAGTGATGCTAAGATTCACCAGGCCTACTTTCCAATATCATTATGTACAAGTTTTAAACATTGTCCACAACAAACTGAGCCTCTTCCAAATAAACTGTGGTTACTTTTACCAGCATTAGTTTGCCTTGCCTCATCGCTACCTGCATCAATCTACTCTCCATCGAGGGCAAGTGGAAGCTAAAACGCAAGTCAAACAGATTGTCATTTGTCATCAAATGTTTGAAATGTTTGCTTGAAAAACCCATCTTCCCATTACTTGTGTTAACTTACAAGTCTATTCCCCTCAACTCTTCTGTCCTGCTTATTCCCATTGCTCTTTCTTGTACAAGGAGAAATTATGTTGGCAGTGGACCCTTATCATAGTAACTTTCTCAGCAATCTGAACTACAAGTACTACAATGACAACCATCTGCCATACCTTCCTCCATCAAAGTACAAGATCAGTACTGCCTTATGTCAAACTGATAGATATGAACTTGCACAAACAACCTTCTGTTGTGTAACTGAAGAATCCAAATGCAGCAGTCCAGCCATTGTGAAGCAGAGCAGCTTCTTCCTTCCAACAAAGGGTTTAATTTTTTAAAATGGCATAATAGTAAACCATTCAAATGTTTGCCTTTATTGTTCATTTGTTTCCATGCATTTACACTGATCAGCTGCCCTGAATATGGTTTCTGGAAGAACCTGAAGACAGGTGTACTGCTATGGACCAGTAGTGTGGTATCAAGATTTGCTCCTAAAACTGTCCAGAATACTTCCAACCTAGATTTTGACAGTTTTTATTCAAGTTTTTTTTTTGCAAAAGACAAGTCAGAGTGCATTTTGAAATGTACAGAGAAGATAGGTCAACAGTCTACCACGAGGCTCAGTGCTAACCCAATCCTGTTCAACAGACTTGCCAACAACCACATCGTACAAGTTCATCTATGCAGTTGACACCAGTTGCACCACTTGAGCATCATTCCTCTGGTTCCTGAATCAAACCTTTAATGAAGACGTTACAATGCTGATGGACGATTGCAGCACATGGCGGCTCATGCTGAATCCAAACTACATATTTTTATGGATGACCAGAAATTATAAGATGATCTCAATCCACATATTGGAAAAGACTCGAGGTAGATCGTGCAGAAGACAAAATCCTAACGAAAACAGCTGAACAGTCAAAACGACAAACATTCTACAAAATAAACCTACTGTATCTGCAGAGGTTGCTAGTGCCAGAACATTTATATAAACGATGAGGTTCAGATTATACTCTGGAGCAAATACTGAACGCATGTTTCACGAAGGTCATCAAATATCCATATTGCGGACACTCAACCAAATGCAACAACACACATTATTACTTTAATCCTCCACACAATACCCATCCTCAGTCCTGATAAAGGGTGTAAACCCAAAACGTTTTCCTGCTCCTCCAATACCGACTGATCTGTGTTCCTCCAGCTCTACACTGTATTGACCCATCCTCTGGCTTCCCGTCTTTGTTAATATAACTCTACCATACATTCACCAACTGATGAAAAGTTGGCTGAAACCATCCATGCTGTAACTCTCTGACTACTATGTGATCTGACATGTTCAACCCAGATACAGCAGGGTTTCTATCTCAGCACCCATATGCAGCAACATTTCTGAGCAAGATCCACCAGCAAACATTTGAATCAAAGGAAGGGAAACATGGGACGTCACTAACCAGTTCCTATTGACAAGCACTATCTGTCGAATAGCAGGTGTTGAGTCAAGGTACAATTGGTCCTTTCAGGGCGGCCTGTATAGGCAATTTCCAGTGCCGAGGAGTCAGTACAAAGTTGTTTTACACTTATGAAGCAAGGCAAATAACGTTGCACAAGACCAAAAATATCCACTCTACAGGCTAGGCAGTGGACTAATAACCTTCAACTCAGCAAATGAGGCAGCTATCAATTGGCTTTGTGGTTTGGTATTCACAAAATTGACAGAGATTTGCAAGTAAGGTTGGTAGCCATTTAAAGGGTGAAGAAGAAGAAATGGGGGATAAAATCAGACTTAAGAAATAAATTTCTGAATAAATTAAATGAAATTCAGCAGCAAAAGATATCTAGGCACAAATATAAAATGCAATTCTGGATTGCTGTGATTCTGGGAATCTTAGATCCATACTGCTCTTTTAAAACTCAAATGCTTATTAATTTCAGTTCAAATGAAGTACAACCTCAATTACACATTTAGCCAGGGTTTATTACATCATTGAAAAAAAATTGGATATTTCACAGGCTTCATGAAAACAATAGTTATTGCAAGGGAAGTGGTCCTGCAAACCACAAACATCCACTGGACAGACTTAGCAAAACCCAGTAACATGCAATTCAAGACAGACCAATTGGTCTTTCTCCAGAATCACAATGAACACCTTAATTCAGCTTCTTGAACAAACACAAGAAGCAGTTGCTCTTTTCAGCCTTCACATCTATTTTCAGCTCATCACTCCAAAACCACACTATGACGCAGCACAAATGCAATGAAATTACAGCATAAGGTGGATGCTAACTGTTCCACCTTAAAGCTAATCTCAGCTGCCCAGAAATCAACATTTTTTGAGAAATTACATCATGTAAAATAACAAAAACTTGTGAAGTGCTCTTATCTCAATAATTCAAGGATGTTAACAAAATCTGCAGAACAACTTGGATTGATTTTGCACATTTCACATCACACAATGTTCCAGAGTACATAACCTAAATTTGGTAGAAAGCCAAAATAGGAAATATTCAAGCTGGTGGTCATTAGTTTGGTGAAAGAGGTCAATGATAAGGAACATTGTAATGATGCAAACAGAAGCCAAAAGACAATGAAGGTTTGAACTGAAAGACAATGAAGTTTTGAACTTAAAGCCACACAGCTCAGGGAATGATCAGGAAGGTAATCAAAGACATTCAACAGGTCAGAAGTGCAGCAGGGATACTTTGGTGAGTGATGGGGCTGCACATTATAGATAGCATGGGGACCAGTCACACAGGGATTTAAAAAGTGAAGGACAATCATTTTAAAATTCAGGCATTCTATAACTAGACATTCGAGTAGGTTGGTAAGCATAAGCATTGGTACAACAATGAAACGTTAGGTAAAAGTACACCAGAATCGTCAGGTCTTCAAGTAACAGTGGCACGGATGAGCTGATTCAGGCAGAATGCAGCATTGCTAGTTGTGGAAATAGGTCTTGATGATGACACAGTGGTGTGCGAATACCACTTTATACCACTGAAAATGTTACAGGGCAATTCAGACCACAACTTAATCTATTGATTAAACCATGATTTTCATACGGCAGAAAATTACATTGATTTGTAATCCCGTGTGCGTCCCAATACAAGCCCAAGTGAAATTGATGACCACCCAAAAGGTGCGATATGCAGAGTCTCGGATTTGGAAATAAAATAATTATTCTCGGAACATGGACTGTGCTGATTTGGTAATCGCTGCTATCACCTGAGGTGAACTACAGTAATGTTGATGCGAGATCTTATTGTTTCTCACCAACTGACGAACAGCAAAGAGAGAAAGTAATGGAATAAAAACAATGGGGAATGGATTTGCCTATACTTGTGCTATAATTAAAGGATTTTATCTTGGTCCCTATTTGCGGTTCACTGTGTGTCTTACCATGGTGACTGAAAATGTTACAGGCGGCTTCGTTACTCCTGGCTGCTGTGTCTCGCCTCCTGGCCCCGTGTCCGGGCCTCGTTGTGCCAACCCTACCCCTGCCGGGCTGGACTGCCTCCCCAACCGCACCAAAACCAGCAGCTCCGCCAACGCGGGCCTGCTGCTGCCCCATCCCCGGTCTTTCCAAGAGCGTCCGTCCCGAATCCCGGTCTTTCGGAGCCTTTTCCTTTACATTCTCACTCGCTATGCTCTCCCGCTTCTCGGCAGATTTATTGTGTCGCTCTCTGCCCTACCCGGCCGGCTCGGCCCGGCTTCCTCTCCGCCTGATATAGATTCACAGGTTGGGGTCGCCGCCCGGTCCCCTTCCCTCGGGCTGAGTGGGGAGGGAGAAGGGTCGGGGGTTCTTGTCTCTTCAAAGCGAATGCAAAGCACCGTCCCTGCAGATACCGCGGCGGAAAAGATAAAGGGGCGGGCGATCACTCTTCCTCAGCTCCGGTACAGAAGCCGCTCACTTCCCCCCCGACTCCGCATCCGCCCCCGTCCCGCTGTCCCTTTGCAAACGCCTGTGCCCCAAGCCACAACGAGGCGCTCTATTCAAGGTCCTCCAAGATGGTCTTCCAAAACTCCACACTGTCGCTGGTCCTCCAAGACACACCTCCGTCACAGGTCCTCCGCGATGGTCCTCCAAGACACTCCTCCGTCACTGGTCCTCCAAGACTCTCTGGCGCTGGTCCTCCGAGACTCTTTGGCACTGGTCCTGCGAGAGTTTTGTTCTCTGCTGTCGAACATCGATAGAACCAGGTGCCAGTGTTTCAGCTGATTTAACGACAGGAATGGATGTTTCTGAATATGAGAGGACTGAACACAGTTCTGAGAAGATAATACCGTCCTGCTGCTAAATCTAAATGATCGGTCGGAAGGGTTTGGAGTCAGAGAAGGGAAGCCTCAGCTCAGTTTATCCGGCTTAATTTTTTCACTTGTGGTGAATTGACGGCTTTTTTTTACAGCAAATATATTTCCAAAATTTTTCAGTTAGCCCATCGTAGATGTAACACTTCAATGGTAATGAATCATTTCTCGATGATGTGGAAAACCTATTTTCCCATGTCACATTATTGCGTCTCAAGAATAATTGGACGAACTTGACAAATAATTTTCTGGAAATCCAGTGATGGTTACTATAACGACAAGAAAACGGTTGTCTTGAGCATGAACTGGCATCGTCGAAAAAGCAGCTAAAAGGTACATTTAACTACGACATTGTTTTTGTTTGTGCCATTCATCCAGAAAACAAAGTGCCTCGAATGATGTGTTGAATGATCTTATTAATCCATAGGATGAACGTATCCGATAAAATAGTGATCAAACCAAGATGCTGAAGATCTGAAGTGAGAACAGAAAACGCATCTGTGGAGAAAGAACCAGTTACAATTACAGGTCAACAATGTTTCTCTCTCCATGAATGTGGCCCGACCTGCCGAGTACTTCGAGTGCTTCCTATTTTTATGCTGCATTTACTTTCCTAAGAGATGATATCAACAAAAATAATATTTCCAAAAAACGTACAGAATAGATGAAGTCACTGGCGTATCATTATATTCATCAGATTCTGGTTTCAAAATAGTTTCTAGCAATCCAGAAGCTGTAATATTGGATATGATTTGCAAGATATCATCCCTTTACTTCTCAAAGACTTTATTCTTTCAGGCTGTACAATAGTATCTGAGATTTATGTTATCCTGAATACAATTTGAAAAAAAAACTGAATTGAAAATCATGCCTGACAAATTATTACAGTTCATTGGAGGAGGTAAAAAGCAGGATGAATGAAAGGGAACAATAGAGCTAATATATTTGGATTTCTAAAAGGCATTCAATAAGGTACTGCACATAAGGCTACTTTATTAAGATAAGAGCCCATGGTGTTGGGGGTAGTATATGAGCAAGGGTAGAAGAGAGAGAATTGGGATAAGGGGATACTTCCAGGATAGCTACCTGTAGTTTGTGGAGTGCTACAGGGACCAGTGCTGGGTCCACAATTATTTGTAACATATTAATGACTTGAGTGAGGGAATTGAATGTACTATCAGATGACACAAAAATAGGTGAAAGACAACCAGTCGACAGAAGATATAGATAGGTTAATTGAGTGGGCAAAAACATGGCAGATGGAATATAATGTGGGAAAATGTGAAGTTACCCACTTTGACAGGAAGAAAAGAAGGGATAAATATTATTTAAATGGAGAAAGACAGAAGAAAGTTGCATCACAATGGGATTGGGAGGTCCTTGTGTATGAATCGCAAAAAGCTAGCATTCACTTTAGTGGGTAATAGGGAAAACAAATGAACTGTTGGACTTCATTTCAGAGAGAATGGAGTATAAAAATAGGGAAGTCTTGCTAAACCTGTACAAAGCACAAGATAAATGACAGCTGGAATACTTTGGTCCCCATCTGTAAGTAAAGGTAGCTTGACATTGGTGGCAATCCAGAGAGGTTTCACTAGGTTGATTCTGGGTGTGGAGGGATTTCTTATAAAAATAGGTTGAGCAGTTTGTATTTTGTCGTATTGTACCAATACTTTCCAAATTCATTTGGACAAAGAACATGAACTTATTTTTCTTCTGGCAAAGATATTAGTTTAATTCAGAGCTGGAGTTGCAGGCAAAACCCAATCAATGCTGAACAATAATAATGTTATATAGGCTGCATCGGGAAGAGGATCTGAAAATCTTTCAGGGTGCACTTGTGACATTTTCCATGATCTGGGGTTTCTTAATTACACTCGAACTTGAGCTTCTTTTTAGTGGAGAAAATTGCAGTTTAAGGAAACAAAATTGACATTTTAAAATGATGAAGAAAAGCTGGAATGCAATGTTAGACAGAGAGATGGAACCAGGTTCAATAATGATTTTCAAAAATGATCTAGATAAATACTTGAAAAGGTTTTAAAAAAAAAAGTGCAAGGCTCTGGAGAAAAACCAGGAACATGGAATCAACTGGGTGGCTTCTTCAAAGAGCTGACTGGCAAAATGGTATCATTCAGATGTTAAGCAGACAGTCAACTTTAAATCATAACTAAATGATAGTGTAATCTGGTAGGGTTTGAATGCAGTGAACAATCTGTGCCAAAGATAGAGTGAGATATTTGAGCACTGGAGACAACCCGAGCAAATTTCAACAGGCTCAGACAAGAGGGCGGAGGTTGGATAAATTGGGGCTTTTCAGCCAATAAAAGAAGTGCCTGAGATAATATTAAATTTAAGTACATAAGATAGCTCAGGGAATGGAACAAGTAAATCTGACATCTTAGGCTAAGATAGATTCCACACATTGGAGAAGGGAGAAGAAAACTGAACTAGCTAAATCTGATATCAAGTGATGAACACACAATCAACTGTTCAGCAGATTTACTGGAGAAAACAAAAACAAGTGCACATTTAAGAAACAAATGGAGTAATTGGAGTGGACCACACTATCTGGTGGATTAATTTAAATGTGCCATATGAGCTACATACGCTAATTATCTGGTGACACAGGCAATTTTTTTTACTTGAGCAATCAATGCCTTAGAAGAACAATAGCCAAAACCTTCATTTACATGCCATGTACTTGAGCTGTCTTCTCATGTCATAAGGCAAGGGTAGTTAGAATAACAACCTACATTAAATGAACTTATGAGGAAATGAGCCACCTACACAGGAACATCGAAACAGGAATAAGCCATTCAGCCCCTCGTGCCCCTTCCTCCGTTCAATGAGATCATGGCTGATCTATGGCCTAACTCCATATACCTGCCTACGGCCCATGTCACTCTTCATATCTTTACTTACAATTTATTTATCTCAGATTTAAAACTAACGACAGATGTAGAATCAACTACTGTTTGTGGATGAGAGTTCCAAATTTTTATCATCCTTTGTGTGTAGAAGTGCTTACTAACACTTGTCCTGAATGGTCCGACCCTAATTTTTAGATTATGTCCCCTAGTTCTAGGTTCCCTCACCAGTAGAAATAGTTTGTCTTTATCTTCCCTGTATTTTCCTTTTAATACCTTGAAGGCTTCAGTCAGATCACCCTGTAATCTTCTAAATTTTAGGAAAAAGAGGCCTAATTTGTACAATCTCTACTCACAACTTAACCCCTTAAGTTCAGGTGTCATTCTTGTAAATCTATATTCTACTCCCACCAAGACAAATATATTTTTTATGATGGTAATGTGTTCTCCTTAATCACTCATATTGCTTTTTTTTGTCTTTGTTTCTATAATATTCTCTATACAGTATTTAATTTTACAATTGTTCACTCTTGCAAGGGTTGCCCCCATCAACATGACTGACACCGATATCTTTCAACAAAAAATGTCCTTCTTTTATCTCTTATGTGATGTTTGCATGACAACTGTGCATTTGTGGAACTCTGGCTTGTAGTGACCTTTTCACTGGGATCACAAGACTAATGAGAGACATTACTGTTGTCCAAGTTTTCACTTAATGCAGCTAATTGACAAACTTGCAGGAAACTTACCTTGATGGCACTTGATTCTCTTGGAATCATGTGTATCTGTTCATTAGACCTCGTATGTACAACATACACAGAACTTTTACTGAACTTCAAATTGATCAATATTGAATTAGGCATGACTTGGAAACTCCTCTCCACGGTAGATTAGTGAGTAAAATCAGTGTTGAATGAAACCAGCTAATTCCTGCAAGAAAAAGCTCTTGTATAATGGAGCCAGATATTCCCCGAGAGCTGGTTCCATGACATAAGCTCCCCATTTAATGCAGTGAAAATGAATTGACCAGGGTTTGTCAGTTTTTAAACTGTTGATGACATCATATTTCCAATGTATATTTCTTTCTTCATGTTCCAAAGAAACAATGATTTTCAGATTCAAAATTATAGCCAAATCTAAAGATTATGGAAAAGGCACAGAAATTGTTGTGTAGGATGGCTGTAGTCAGAACTACAAGGAGAGGGCTGATGCTTTCCAGCTTCTATTGTGCACTGAATTGTCATCAGGTCTAATTTTTTTTTCTAAAGTGGACCCAATGGTGTCAGCATCATTTTGAATAGCACAGTACAAGAAGACATCATTCAGTATAAGACTAAAGTGTAAAAATCTAGAAGGTGCAACATTTAAGTTCCTGACTTGCAATGAGATAGCAAAGTGCTTCCCAAATGTTTCCCTCTGTGACACCACATAGAGGTTTTGCTATGACGCCTTCGTGTGAATTGTAAAGCCAAGCAGCAGGGAGGATATTTGGATGGAAAAAAGAAGCAAAATATTTGATCTTTGGGGATTTTTAACAACCCACTTTTTCACTGGCTTTTTTATTAATCAAAAACCAGATGCCAAAGACCAGGTAATTAGGCCATGCCAACCATAAAAGTATGTAAGGAATTAAAGAGGGTTCACAGCTGTTAACATTCGGTCAGAGCTGCAAGAGGAAGACATTACTAACATGGAGCTCACAACTCCAGAATTTCGTCTTGCAGCCACAGTTTGAGAATTTCTGATTTAGCATATCCCAAAAGAGAAGCAGCTAGACTCATGCTGTTGACATCAGTA